CGTCGAGAAATTGTGCGAGATCATCATTATCCTCACTCGTGAGCACGGAGACACTCTTCTCCACAGCTTGGCTAACCTCTCCAACCCCAACTTGAAGGACCAACCCTCAGGTCATGACAGAAAGAAGAATTTTCCCTTCCATTTATGCATGGAAGAAGGGTTGTCTATCGGCTTGGTCTTATGGGGTTGGAGGTAGTACATGCCGTTTTCGGAAGTATGCCTCCTTGGCACAAACAGCGCTTGGAAGAGCCTTAGCGTTAGCTCCACCCCCTGGAACCAAGCCACCACCAGCATGGCCACTATGGTCCTAACGGCATTGGGCACTAGTTGGCTAACTGTAATCCCATACGCCCTCAATAGTTCGGAAATCAGCGGATGAAGGGGGAACCGGAGACCGAACTTGAGGAAATGTTGGTAGACGCAGATCTCCCCCTCCTTAGGAGTCCACAGCCATTCGCCTACTTCGGGCACCCTCACTCCATAGGATAAGGGAATGAAGTACTGCCTTGCCAGAGCTTTGACCTGGTCCCCATCCAGAGAGTTCTTGAAACCTAGGCGGAGGACATCAGTCTCAGTTACTACCTGGGCAGCCCTCATCCTGGGAACATGGTCTAGGGTTCCCTCCCCCTCGGCTGGGCAAGCCCCTTCGACCTCCCTCGATGTCACAGAAGCAGCACTCTCATAGGGGGGTGTCCCCGCCTCGACGGCTGCCTTCAGCTCCCTTAGGGGCTATCCTTCCCCGGAGCACCATGACCTCCTACCGAAGGGGGGCAAGAGTAGACGGACTCAAAGGGGAAAGAGGAAAGGGGTACGGGAAGAGCTCCCTTCCGACTCATGCGAAAGTTTATAGCACTCAGGTCCAGAATCTGAGAAAGACATTGTTTAAAGTTACCTAAGAAATGTGGAGGAAGAAAGAGTGAGAGTAAGTATTGAAGGTTGGAGAGTCTGGAAGCTGAGTTCACTCGAAGGCAAAGGCGCTTAGAGGCAAACAACAAGAATGCTGCCGCTAAGGGCCCTATTTAAAGAGGAACGAACGGCCCAGATTTCTCAAGATCCAACGACTAAGAAGTCATTGCCTCCACTACCCAATCATGGCATACCACGTGACGCTCAACCTTGAAAGGCGAAATGACGCGCTAGCGACGGCTCGGATCGTCCCTAATCCAACGGACGTGAAATGCCTATGCATCTGCAATCCAGTTGCGCCGCCTCCTTAAACGCTCACCCTCGGAAGGCGAAACGATGGTCCGGGTGAACCGACGTGTTCTCTCACTGTGGACCACCAACTTTTGCGACCCAATCACGCGAATGCGCGCACCGGTCAGACCGAAAAGCCGTCCCATGCACGGGTCCTTGGGCTTCATAGGTCTTCGGCCTAAGTAGCCTTCGGCCCCCTATTCTCTCAGCCCAAATGACGACACCAAAACATCTACACTAAGCACGCCTCCCGAATCACTTGTACGAAGCAGTAGTGCTATAATCCACTTGCAACCTCGTTCCAACTCATAAAGACGAACCAGGTAGAGACACGAAAGAGGATGCCACCACAGGGTACACCTCGGCTGTCGGACCCACTGGCGCTCACCATTATTACTCCCATCAACCGAAACCGAATTTTCCTCTTCAGCCTCAGGAGTGGGGGGCAAGTGATGTGGGGTGACCCAACCCAGCCCATTTGAGGCTGGGAGCCCCAGCCCACGAGCGTCAGATTAGGAAACGAGATCCACTACAGCAAGGGTTACCCTGCCCCCATCGTACGGAGCCAACCGCGATGCGCTCACATGACCCTGCCAAACCCGCTACAGGCCCTCGTACGGCTCCCATCTCAGGCGTTCATCTCCACCTACCTCTAGGCAGCTGGAGTATAAATAAGGGTACCCCCTCCAGGTAAAGGGGTTACAAAAGCTCAAGACCTACAGTTATTGTCATAATAGCTATTGCAATAACTGCTATTGTGACTTTATTATAGAACTACCTACTAGGATCCTGTCCTGGTACTCTCCCTTCGTACCCTGTACTAACTTGACCGTCGGAGACTCTGCCTCGGATTCTCACCCGGGGCCTCTGACTAATTTCTGCCTTGCAGCACTTCGGCCATCTACCCTCGACTTCTACCGTACTCGGGACCACCCCACTTCGGCCTCAGCAGCGACCTCTCCGAGTCCTCAAAGCCTCCGGCCGGCCATCGGAGCCTAGGGGCAAAATTACTTTATTTTCCTCGGCCATTCCGAGCACTAACAGTTTCATTGGGCGGAAGACCTTGCTCTTGTGCAATTGTGACTCTTCTCGTGCCCCATCATTGGATTCCACTATTTTGAAATTTTGAAAAATTAGCACCGGTAAAAGAGATTTTTTATGATTATAAGGGAGGTCTTAGTCCAATTTAAAAATAGAGGGGGATTTTGGCATTTACAAATAAAGTCATGGGAGGTTTAAGTATTTTATCCTAAAAGTAAATACTGTACTTTATATCTTTAATTTATGCTTTCTTTTCAATGAATATCTTGGACAGGATTGCTAATGAATGGGGTCGATATGGATAGGCCATCCAAAATTGTTTCTTTTATATTCAGTTTCAAATCAAATATTGTTCACCGATATTTATATCATATTTAAATCAAATATAGATTGTGATTTTGAATGTCATTGATAAGTTAAAATAAAGTCGACGAAAATATATTATCGATAAAATGAGTTAAAAATGACTTCGATATCGTATATCATGAAAAAAATATATATTAAACATAACTTATATAAAACCTAGTGCCTGTCCATTGCCTCTTAACGCTGAATGCTGATGTTTTCAAGGGTAATCAGAACATTTGGTTCCATTTTTTTACTTTAGCCCTAATGTCTCATCCATCCTTTGTTTTCTAATGATTCCACTTTTTGTTTTCCAAAAATTACACCCAAAAACTTCCTCCTTTTACATATGCTACAATTTAAAAACTCTATCTTTAAAATAATAAAATAATATTTAAAAACCATTATTATTTTATTAATTATCTATATATTATTTAATTATTTTCTTATATATTAATATTTAATTCATTATTTTAATTATTTATAATATATTAATTAATTAATTACTCAATTCTTTAAAATAGGTAATTATTTATAATTTCTTATGAAATCTATTATCTATAAATGAATATATATTCATTTTATTAATTGTTAATTAGTTTGTGAAATAATTAAACAAACTTTCTCATATCCAAAGCTTAAATGGTTATTTGTCATTTTTCAGAATTTAACATTCAGATTTCAAAACAATTTCTATACATTCAGGCTTTAAAACCTATAAAAGTTCACCAACTCCCATACACCTCAAAAAATTATTACAATTTTAGAGTGATTAAAATGCCAGACTTCACATGCCCTTAAACCAATGACACGGTAGTAAAATCAAAATATTAGAACCAACTTTAGTTTGGTGATAGATATACACAATACATTTAAATTGAACCGAACCTGATTCAATCGGTCTAGTGCACCATCTTTTCTTGTATAAATAAACTCTACAGTCTGATTCTGATTTGAGCAGTTGAATGATTTGGCGAATGGAATCGGATATGGATGGATCCACATTCAATCCATTTATAATAAACGGAGCGATTTCAGGTCGCCCATAACCGGATCAAATTGGAATTAGTGATACCGTTTGCAGCGCCACCTTTGGATCCTAAATTTTTGGCTCACGTGGAAGATTCCTTTTCTAAACGGTCCAATACACGCGGGTTCTGCTCATGGGTCATGGCAGAAATAGGGCAGCAAGAACAAAAATATATATATAAAAAAATCATTTAGTAATACAATTTTGTAGCCTATTTAGGACATCAAAGTAATTACATGTAGTTTATACATTTTACGAGGGTGTATGTGTCATTCTATTCTGAGACATTTGATTCAGGTAGATTACATAATAAAGTAATGCAGCTTATATATAAAATCTAATCTGACCATTAATTATCATAAAAAAATTAAATAAGGGAGATGTGCTTCCACGTTAAACCATGTTACTCAATACTAATTTTACCGGAAACAACGTATCCCTACTGCATGCAAACTTAATGTAAAAATGTGTGAATCAGTTGACTTTCCCCTTCTTGTAGACGTGGGGACTGCATGTCCCTCTGTCTAGCTTTCTGAGAGAGAGAGAGAGATGAGTGGAGAGGGAAGTGAAGCCAAGAAAAGTATCCGCATTATATGATAATAGAAAATGCATAAGGATACACTCACCCTCTACTAGTAAATATACTGCTAGCCTCTGTATAGCCCAGGAGACTTAACACATTTCTGTTATTGGACAGATTGTTCTGTTAGTTTCAGAAAACTAATTTTGTGAGCTTCAAACCACCATAACACATAGTGCACATTCTTATTAGAATAGTTTGCCCAAAAGGCAATGTAAACGGAGCTGTTTGTTCTGTTTGCATTCCCTTCCTCATGTATATAACCAACCAAATTTCCACTATTTATACTTATCTGCTGGACACAGTAACCGACCAAAAAGGTGGATGCGAATATTGGGTTTCACTGGACCTCTACTAGCTAGTAAGTCCAACTTTAGATCAATTAATCTAGCCTCTTTTAGCATTTATGTTTCTGAGCTGGGCCTCAGCCCAAATTAATGGCCCTTATTATTAGATCACTCTTCTAACAACTAGATTGATTTGATCATCTGATCAACTGCGTCTATGCAGTTCCAATCTTTTATTTTTTGGGGTGGTCAATTGGATCGTATAAAATACTGAACTGAATGGTCTCAATTTGTTATGGTCATGTCGATCTCTTGTATGGCTATATACCTAAATGCTGAGAATTTATATATATGAGAGAGCAAACTCTAAATGAGGTGACATTAAATAGTTTTAATACAACCTTATTGTATCACTATTTATATGACCTTTGTTGTTTGCTTCTTGCTCCAAATCCATACTATATTCCAACTGAATGTGATGTTCATACTGTGTGAGAGAGAGAAAGAGAGAGAGAGTTCATATCAAGCAGTAACAAATAGAGGCAGTATCAATAAGAGAAGAACCAAACAATAAGAACAACTCAATAGTCAATAGACATGAATGTAGGTATGAAGACCAAATGCTGATGGCAAGAAGAAACAATGAAAACCAAGTAAAATCTCTCTCTCTCTCTCTCTCTCTCTCTCTCCTCACGAGAGAATTCCCAAGCACATCAACCCAATCCCGACAGCCAAACCCACCCCAACCGTCCTTTCTTTCGAACCTGACGAGTTGTTGTCTGTGGACGACGATGACGGCCCTCCAGCCGACGATGGTTTGGTCGTGTTCGATGCACTTGATGGCGGCGCTTTCGCCGGTGGAGGAGGCGACGTAGGAGGCTTAGCTCCGAAGAGTTCCGGTGGTAACAACACCTTATCCACCTGGTAGACCGCCAAGGGTGGGGAGTCTCGAAGAGCATTGCTGAATTGGGTCTGGACCATGCCCGTCGAGACGTTCACTTGGTTGTTGGCAATGCTAGTGAAATTGAGAGTAAGGGATCCTGATTGGCCACCTGCCTGAGTTCGGACAGGGTTGCTAATGGTTTGAAACGAGGTAAGGGATTGGTATTGAGGCAAGACATGGTACAGCACCAGCGCAGACTGGTCTTGCTGTGAGAGTCCGTTGAGTGTGCCAGCCGATAGGCTGTCGATCGCATTATCAGTAGGAGCGAACACCGTAAGGCCTTGAGTAGAGGTGTTGAGCTGGTTCTCGATCTGGTCTATGACATGTGTGGATGCCAGGAGTCGAATGAATTTGGTGTACTGCCCACCCTTCTCAAGGATTGCCGTCAGGTTGACTGGCCCTGCTGCGGCTGGGGCTGGCGCTGCTTGGCCATCAACTTGGGGAGTGATGAGGAAGAGACATGGCACCAAGGCGAGAAGAATGAGAGATAGAGGAGCTGCAGAGGCCATTGGCGGGATGATGATCTCGATGCTGGGTGCTGGCGGTGACTTCAGATGGAATGGGGGACTGGGGTCTGTGGGGGATTTATGAGTCATTGAGAGTGCTGAGGTAGGAATACGTTGGAATGAGCTGTCTATAGAACAGTAGAGTCGGACCAAACCTTACTAACCAAAAGAAAAATCAAGAAAATAGGATCATCACAGTTCTGTAATTTTATATATTATTTATATATCTTAGTCATTATTATATTGTCCATGTATCTTTGTTATTTCTACTTTTATAGGCTTATCTATGTATTTGTGATCTATACATAGCATCTTGAGTTTCACCCGGATAAAACTCCAGAAAACAATTAATCAACTCTGTGGCCCATGTGACACTGCACATGATAAGGAGTTCAGTTGATTTTTGTATCTATTTTTTAACTTGTCTACACTACTGTACAGTGTTGAATTTGAAACCTGAGGGAGTAGTAGGTTGCCATGAATCTAGTTTTTAGACTTTGGACTTTGGATAAGGTTAATTATAACAAGTTGGTTGGTATTTTAATTTTTCTTCATGGTAGCAAGCCTGGCACCACATGGCATGCAAGTGGGGTTCTCATACATAAAAGTCTTACCAAATACAACCAATACTAGATAAGACCATAGGAACAGGAATTTTTTTTTAAGAGTATATGTACTATATATAATAGTTATAAACCTCACCACCACTGTGTGGCTCATGCAATCATGTTTATCTATACTCACACATTCGAGAAATCAACTGCTCCATATCAACCATCCACTTAATGGGTCCCAATACCCAATATTGAAGGTTTAAGAACATCCGATACCTAATCAATGTACATACACAATTTTTTCCTTCAAGCCAAACACAGCCTTAATAATCACTATCCCAAAAGTACGGAGTACCTCTCTATAATTTACACAATTTTTACCATGACATTTAATGTTGCACAGCCACCCACACGTACTAAAATTAGAGCAATGGTTTTGCAAATAAAAAATCTAGCATGACATTGACTGACTACGAGACAGCTAGATGGATCGAAGGTGTCATGTGGCTAGCTGGTTGTAATCAAGACTTGAGATTTGAGATTGAATCCTTGAATCCTGACTTTACCACCAGGGTTGGGGTCATGGGTTTAGGGACCGGCTACTCCCTGTTCTGTAGTTAGCCCCATGAATTAAAATACATAAATATGGCCAGGTGGATATTTCTGCAATCAAATAATACTATAATACTAACTTGTCCCAGCCTTTATTAACCTATAACCTATATATTAGATATGCTTAAATAAGTATAATATATAATAGGACTTAACATTTATTTTAGCATATGCTTTTGATAATAATGCTTTACAAAATTATGAATATTTTTACTACCATTTAAGTGTCTATTGGGTACATATTATCTTTGAAAATTTTTAGGACAAACACCAAACTAGCTAATTGATAATTTATCCAATCTACCTATCGTTATTTCGCCATAATAAAACCGTTGATTTGGTTTGAATAGTCGGACTGTTCAACCTAAGAACCGGACCCTGATCTGTTCATTGTCCGATTCGATTTTAAAAAACCTAACCTTGCTTTGTATCATTAATGTCATTACTAGCCCATGGGTGATTAATACGGAGCAATTGAGAGAGTGAATAATGAAGAAAAAGAAGAAATAGAGAAATACCCACTAATGCCATTTATATTCCATATCATCAAAATACAATAAATGGATAAATGCAGTAAACAATATCACCCCTCTTTCTAGAAACTATATATTCTTGAATTGGTCGTCCTATTTTTCTTGATCAACAATCTGAAATTGATCAAGTATTTGGGAGACATACTTTATTCGTGCACTTATACCTATGTAGATGGAAAAAGGATTTTCCTTTGTGTGTAAAGACATACTTGTATTCAAGTATTTGGGAGACAAGTGCAAAAGTTATATGCTAGTGCATATGATCCACGTATGTGGCAAATAGAGTCATGGCATCTTTGTCTTTCAACATCTTCAAAAAATATGTGGTCCCATTCTATATTCCTCTTTTTTGAAGTCAAGTTTCTCAATAATTGATTCAAACCAAACAATATCTACAACCAACAATATGTCATCTTGTTCTCTGCTTGAACAAGTCTCCTAGTTACTTAATTTCATCTTTGTCATTTTAGAACTCAGATGGCGAGCATCCACTAAGTTGTTCAAATACTGTATGAGCACCTTCAAGTTGGGAGAACTTTTAACAGTTAAAAAAGGAGATTTCAGCTTAGTAAAGAAGAAGAAGAAGAAGAAGATGATGATGATGGGCAGATACCCTATTTCTACCGTAGGGTAGAAAAAGAAAAAGAAATAGATGCATACCTGTGCTCCAAACCCTTGCAAATCGAACCTAAAGAAAGCTCTTGGCATGCTGTCTTGATGGAGAGAGATAAAGGGAAAGAAAGATAAAAAAACATTTTATGGAAGCTCTCAACGGTGTTGTTTCTACAGATGGAAGATGACATTGGGAATGGAAGAGAAACATGCGTGAATGACGAGAGTGAAAGGCAAAAATGTGAAGGTTTAGGATTAAAAGGAAAGAGATGGAAGTCCTTGGAGCAAGGAAGGAGACAGGAAGTATAGACACGTGTCGTGACATGCAATGACTTTTTTCATTGCATAAGCAAAGCGCGAGCACATGGGTCTACACTGCCAATTTGGAGAGCGAGAGGAAAATTATTTGAGAAAGGTGAGAGACGGAGAGGAGGGAAATCTACTTCCATCGAAAAGCCATTCGTTGAAAAAGTGAGAGTAAAACTAAGCTTGAGTGTAAATGGGGAAAGATGATAGATACAAGAAAGAAAGCCAAGCTTGAGTGTAAATGGAAATGGAAATGATGAGAGATACAAGGAAGTTACTTTATTTATCCATGTGTCATTCATGAAGAAAAATGCTGCTTTAATGGTGACTGAAGCCAAACTCAAACTCAGGACCAAGGTTTTTAAAATCGACCCGGACAACGAACCGGTCAAGGGTCTGGTTCCCAGGTTGAACGGTCTGACAATTCGAATCGAATAGATGATTCGTTTTGACAAAAAATAAAAAAATTAAAAAAACAAAAAATGTCCAAATCATTGAACGGTTCGACCCCCCAAGTCAACGGTTTGCTGATCAAATCAACAGTTCTGGGGTAAAACGGAACCAGTCACCTGACCGGTTCCCGATTTTCCTAGTCCAACCATCCGATCTAGTCCAGATTTGAAAACCATGCTCAGGACAACAGGGGGATGATTTCAAGGGGAGATCACCCCTTTCCTTTATATATTCATTCAATAAATAATCATAATTTACCTAAAAATTTATATTTAAGGCTGATTTTAATAATCATTTTTTGATCAATTTGTTGATTTCTTAAAAATTGGCCGATTAAACACTAAAACAGTCAACAATACACAAGGTAACACCTGAGAATATACAGAAATTCCATTTGGCAAAAGGGGAAACCACCCTGTCAACACAAATTTCGTGCTAAATTTGGAGCACAAAAAAATGCAAACAAATTCAAAGGAATTTAATTAACTTTTTTTTTTGCAGAAATGTAAGTGGAATACAAACTCTTTTTTTTTTGCAAAGAAAATCCTCTAATTCTCTTGCTATGAACACAACTCGAACTTGTATTTGTAACTTGTCACAAACATGATCGGAAAAGCTTAGGGACTTGTAGTTGTAGAAGAAACTTGCAGTAACCAATTGTATGTGAACAAAGCTTTTGTTCGCTATCAATTGTTGATTTGAACATGAACCGCAATGCTAACCTTTAGTTGTAAGAGGTCCCTTGGTTGTAATAAATTGATGGAGGCCTTCTTGGCTAAAAGGATTTGTAGAAAACTTTTTGACTCTAATAATTTGACAGAGGCTTTTGACTGCAATAAATTGAAAACCGAAATCCCCCAATTGATGTAGCACAAACTTGTAGCCTTGAATCTTCAATAGTTGAGGAGATGAAAATTTGGATCTTCCTTTCTTGATCTAAATGCACTTGTCCCTTCTTTTTTCTTGTCAAAAGAAATGAAGCCAATGGAGCTGAATTGAGGAGTCGAAGAGGGGGAAGAGTCAAAGGAAGAACCCCTTGCTCCCCTTCCTCCCATCTAGATTGATGGTTTGGTGATCAATTAATATGGGGGCCCACTAGATTGATGGTTTGGTGATCAATTAAAAGCAAATTAAGAAAATGGGTTGGATCTATCTCCCACTTATTTAAAATCAAGTGTCACTTGGCAAAAGGGGTTGGGCCCATGCAGGTCTTAACTTATTTGACCGACCATGACTTCCAAACTTGGTTGATCAATCAACCCCCCCTTGTGTTCTGATTTCCTTTTAAATGGGATTCTCTTAATTATATTTTGTATTATTTTGGAAAGTTTGTTGGTTTGAGATCCCCAATTAACAAATCAGTGATCAGACCAATCATCATTTTCTTTTTTCTGATGGATTGATTAAGTCTTGAAAGTTGTTGGTTGTATTTTAAATGGGATTCACTAAATCCCAAATCAAGATTTAGCTAATCTGTCCATCAAATTTGAATTAAGGATTTTCTCATTTTTTTTCTTATGAGACCATTGTACCAAACACTTGAAGCTTAAGCCCAAGACCCATTATAGAAGTAATTGTTTCCTTGGGCTAATGAGCCAATACATTGGGTCCCATCCAACATCTTCATTAGGCCCAATTTTGTTATTTTTCTTAGTGGACCCAATAACTCATGTTTATTCAATCTCGTATTGGGCCCTATTTATTTCAGTTCTTGGGCCCAAAATTTACATATCAACAAATGCCCCCCAAGTTGGTGGTTGTTATTGTAATTGGCAATGCAACCACTAACTTGCAAAGTTTTACACTCTTGTAAGCAAGAGCAAGAATTTGTTGAATCATTTGCCAATTCATACTCATGTAGGCTAAGAGTTTTTTTTTTTCTCTTTTTTCTTTTGGCTTTTGATTTTGCCATTCACAGTTTGTACTCATGGTGGGCCAAGAGTAATTTTTTATTTGATTTGGCCGTTCATAGTTTATACATGTGCAAGCCAAGAGTAATACAAATAATTTATTTTGTGACTACA